GAAGGGAGGGAGGGAGGGAGAGGGAACTGGGATCGACATGTAAAATAATAAATTAAATTTTAAAAAAAGGAAAAAGAAAAGGAAGGGCATGAAGAGGAGGAATAGGAGGAGAGGATATTGTAGCCCAGACCTGGTCCCCCAGGAACCAAAGGAAAAGAATCTAATGTCCTCTGAAGGACTAACAACCCCTTTAACTCACTGTATCAGCTCTCCGGGTGCTTTCCGCCTCACAGAGAAACAGAAAGAAAAGCCCAGAGGATGGCCTGGGGATCCACTTGTCTCAGACAACCCAAACCCACACGTGCAACCCTACCACACTGCGTTCTCAGGTGAGAGACTGGCTCCAGTTCTGCAGACAAGAGAATGCCGTTCAGGAGACAGTGGCAAGGCACTCATAAGCCCCAGGCCAGCCTGTGCCAAGCAGTGAGGCTCTGCCTCCAAAAGAGGAAAGGGCATAAAGGAAAGGGGGAAAGGAGCCAGGTTTGGCGGACAGCCTGTAATCCTAGGACTTGGGAGGCAGAGGCAGGAAGACCAGGAGTTCAAGGTCAGCCTTGGCGATACAGAGTACTGGAGGCCAACCTGGACTACCTAAGACTCTGTCTCAGAAAAGAAAAAAAAAAAAAGTAATAAATGACCTCATTCCCGAAAGCAGGGAAGAAAATAAACCATCCAAGAATAAATGTATCAAGACATATTCTAAGTCTATAAAGCACCCTGAAGTCTGAACAGGCAGACATAAATTTGCATATTATATCTGGTTAACTCTCCAAAGGCCAGTGTACACATCTAACATCACTCCCCAAAAAGGAGTTTAGAAAATGAAGAGAGACAGGAAATGTGATCACAAAGAATACTGAGAAGTATAAACAAGCAAAAGTAGCCATGAAAAATCTAAAATAGCAGGAAAAGAAGAAATTACACCCAGAGAGATGATACCACCAATCACTACTACTTCCCCCTCCTCCTCCTCCATCTCCTCGGGTTTTGGGGGGGTTGGCTTGGTTTGGTTTGGGTTTGGGGGAAAGGGTTGTTTTGGTTTTTTGCTTTTGTTTTTGTTTTTCAAGACGGGGTTTCTCTGTGTAGTCCTGGCGGTTTTGGATCTCACTCTGTAGACCAGGCTGGCTGAGAACTCACTGAGATCTGCCTGCATCTGCCTCCTGAGCCGCTGGGATTAAAGGCATGCAAAAAGCACTTCCCAGTGACACCACCATCTTCTAGTAACTTTTGGTGACTCTTAAAGGAATGGTAAAGGAAGCATGGCCCAGAGCCGAAATCTGTGTCACCTTTCCCAACACCCACTGACAACCCCCTAGTGTCGAAGGGCTCTATCCGCCCATCTCTGTACCTAACCATGCATGTCTTGTCCTCTGAAGACCTCTACATAGGATTCTCTCTCCTCTCCTCAATGTCCAACTACAACCTTCCTGGCTAGTTTCAACTCCTTCCAGTTGCAGCTTAAATGCCACTACCCCAGACCCCAACGTTGAGTGCCCATTATTCTCTAGAGACGTCCTTTAAGGCTTCTTTGTTGTCCATATCCCAGTTCACAATCATGTATTTATTTGCATGCTTTATCCAGCACAGTGTACCCAGAACCCATCACCGGATGTAGCAAACAGTGGCATCCAATAGAAGTTTGTGGAGAAGAGATAAATATGTACATAGAGAATTAGGTAATGATGATCCTGCACAAGTGTGCAGGCAGGCAGGGTGACTCAGAAGCAGAATAGAGGAGTGTGTGCTTTCTTCTGCAGACATCAAGATCCTACTCTGCCCTTTTGAGGTTCTTGGGGTAGATTTTAGTAGGGAATCTCTCAACTGACAGTGGGGATTGGGAATTAGTCAGCAACTTCCTAATCAGCCTCCACAGACGATTATGTGGCATTGCCTCTTGGCACCCTGCTCTGCTTGGCTAGGACTAATCCAACAAGCGCTCGTGAGCTGGGCACTTTGTGTATCCGTGTTCAGTTCTTAGAGTAATAGCTGGCATCTGTACTGTTTCTCTAAGTAAACTAAAACCAATTATCAGGGAATGATTCGGTACTTTGGCAACAAATAGTATGTGTATGTTTGACAAAGGAAAAGGTTAATCTGTCCGTGGATCATAAAGAAGATGTCTCTTACCCAGCTTCTGTCTGAAGAGTGGGACCTCACATCTCTTGCTGCAGCCAAATGCACAGCATCTCTTTGCACTGCGCATGCCTTATGTGTGGTGCACATGTCAGAACAGAATGGGCTCTGAATGATTTTGGGACTGCCTCTTTTTCTCTCTGTATCAGAAACAGACACACGGGAGCTGGAGAGATGGCTTGTGGGTAAGAGCCCTTACTGTTCCTACAGAGGCCCAGGTTCAGTCCCCAAATTGTCTGTAACTCCAGTTCCAAGGGATTGGATGCCCTTTTCTAGCTTATGAGGGTACTCACCCACCTATGGTGGATATAAACTTGAACAAGCATGCACAAACACACACACACATAAAGATTAAAATAATACGTTTTTAAAAGTCATGAGTAAAGGAGATAATTCAGTCAGTACAGTGCTTTCTGAACAAGCATGAAGAACTGAGGTTGAGGTCCTGAGTTTGGTTCCCCATCACCTACATCAAAAAAATAATAACACTTGGGAGGCAGACAAGAGAATCTCTGTGAGTCTGAGGCCAGCCTGATCTACAAAATGAGTTCCAGGACAAACAGCTTTAACAGGGAGAAACCCCGTCTCAAAAAAACAATAATCATACTACTATAATAATAAATAATAATATTTTTAAAAAACAGGCTTGTTAGATGGCTCAGTAGGTAAAGGCATTTTTCAAAAGCCTGAAGATCTGAAGTTGATCCTCAAATCCCATATAATGGAAGGAAGGAATCAATTACCACAAGTTGTTGTCTGACATACATATGTATGCTTTAGTTGGTATGCATACTCTAAATAAAAAAGTAAATAAAGATTTTAATTTTTTTTTTTTAAAGAGGCAGGTTCAGAGGAAAGACATTGAGACCGGTTACCCTTCAAAATGAGCTCTACAGAGAAGGAACACCTAGGACAATGGAGGCCATGATCAGGCCTTGGGATGGGAACGGGGAGGGGATAAGAGGGTCAGCTTAAAGTGACAGACAAGACAAGACAGCTGTGGTGAGCAACCTGCAGGGAGGTGGGGGAGGGGAGGGCTCTTTGGAGAAACCTCTTGGTTTTAGAAGTTTTCCCAGGGAGTGGGGAGCCCTGATGTAACTCAAAACCAGTTTCGGAGGAGGCATCAGAGCTATTTATAGACAAGGGAGAACATATGTTTACAAGTCCTTGCTATACCAGCCAAGCACTGGGCTCCTGGAGTTCAGTGGAAGAGAGGGAGGAGGGATCATATGAACACAAGGGGAGGGTCCAAGAGCATGATGGGATAAACCACAGAAACAGCTGACCTGAGCTAGTAGGAGCCCATGGAAGCTCCTGAACTACAACAGACTGACAGCTGGGGAACCTGCATGGGATGGAAATAAACCCTCTGAGTGTGGGTGACAGTTGCGGGAAGGGGGGGATGTCAGTGGACCAGGACCTATCCCAGGTTTGTGAACTGGCTTTGTGGAGCCCATCCCCCATGGTGGTCCTGCCTCAACTTGGTATGTCAGAATTTGCTGACTTCCCAAGGAAGGCCTTACCCCTACTGAGTAGTGGATGGGGGTGGGAAGGGAGAAGATGGGGAGCAGGAGAAGGGGATGGAGGGGAACTGGGATTGGTGTATAAAATGAAAAATAAACATTTTAAAAATAAAAAGAATTTTAAAAAGAGCCGGTATGGTACACACACTTGTAATTGGGGAAAAGAGAGGAAGAACTGGGGTTCGTATGTAAAATGAAATTTTTTTTTAAATAAAAACAAGATTTTTTTAAAAGACCAGACATGGTGCACACACTTGTAATCCCAGCACTTGGGAGGTAAAAGTGGGAGGCCCCGAGTATAAAGTCAGAACACTACTCTAATCCAAAGTAAGACATGGATCATCAATGGCGTTTTCTTTCCTGATAGGGACAATGGGCTGGGGTATGGAATGGTTAGAGACCTCAAAGGGGGAAAGGTAACCTACACTAGGTGTCCAGAGCCAGTCTGGGAGGAGGGAAGCTGCCTGGTCCTATTCATCCATGAGAAAAGGCCAGGGATCTTTCCCCTCATGACAAATGACAACATGCTCCTCTGAGGTGTGCTTGGTGGGCCTCAAAAAGCCTGTGCCGCAGCACTTCTGCCCAGCAAGATGTGACCTATTGCTCTGGCACAGATCTTTCCATGCATTCTGATCAGGAAGGCACTGTCCCTTTCACTGAAAGAGTTCATATGAAATTGAGACAATTGATTAGGCCTAAAGAAATGGAGTGAAGGCTGAAGAGATGGCTCAGCTGTCAAGAAACTTGATGCTCTCCCAGAAGACACAAGTTCAGTGCCCAGCTCCCGTCTCAGGCAGCTCACAACCATCTATACCTCCAGTTCAGGGGGATCCTGCTCCCTCTTCTGGTCTCTGTAGGTGTCCATACACACATGCCATACATACGGAGAGACGCCTACACAAATCTTTTTACAAAAAGTAATTACAGAATGAGAGTCAAATGTGTCTTAAGGAGCTCAGCATCTCCATGCATTTCTCTGCAGATTAGCTCTGCTACCCCCATCTCTTCTTGCCACAGAGATACCAACACACAACCCCACGACTACTAAACGACAAGTAAACCAGTAGTGCTGCAGAGGAAGAGACAGACAGACAGACAGACAGACAGACAGACAGACAGAGGGGGCTGTTGCCCAGCCCTGTCCTCATTTAATGAGCTCTAGAAGATAGCTGCAGTGTGAGAGGGCAGCAAAAACCAAACCACCTTGTCCTTGCTGTCCCGACAACCCTTCCATCTGGTTCTTCCTACAGAGATGACTGGCTCCACAAATGACAAGGCAGAAGAAGAAGACCTCTCCCATAGTAACTTTCTATTACTTTTAGCCAGGGACCCCAAAGGATAGCTCACCGTGCTCTCCTGCAGTTACCCAGGATGCCAGGGAGCCGAGAGCAAGGAGAACAAGGAGTGCCTTCGTGAGGAAGAGGGAGCTTAGCATCCTGCTGATGTTGAGGTTGAGAGCTCTGTTCTGGGCAGAGGCAGCAGCAGATGAAAGGACAGGACTGGGTAACTGCTGTCAATCCAATCCCAACCGGTTCACAATACCCCCCCCCCAACCAGGAACCTTTTCTCCTCACAGTAAGAGCAGTGATTGGCTGCTGGCGTGTGGAAATTTTCCTGGCACTACCAAAGGGCACGTGTGATGGGAGGGACCAAATACTGCCATACAATATGCATAATGCTCTTAGAAAAGTGATGAGGATCCCAATGGAAAGCTAGGAAAATGGAGAGGTAGCTATTGGGTTAAAGGTCAAAGAGAGACCAGAAGGGCTTTGAAAGGACTCAGCTGCAGTCAAAATGACAGAGGGTGAACCAGACCAGCTGTTCTTCCTGGGTTCACTTTGGGATTTTGAGGAAGATGGGTGGGGTGGGGACCAGAGATGAGAAAAATAAACAGTCCAAAGCTGGGGTCCGGAGGGCTGATGACTCAAACCAGCAAGTTTGTTGGTATCACAGCTCTTTACATCCCCTCAGATGGGGAGGCAAAAAACAAATCAGTGAAGCTCATCCGGAGGATGAACTCTTTTGCAAGGTACAACAAGCAAAATATTTCATATCTCAAAGTCTGTAATATTTAACCACAGCTTTACATGAAACCATCAATCTCTGGGCCCTGGCCTCAGCCCCCACCCCACCCCCCAGAGCCCTGGCACCAGTCCATTGCTGGCCTTGCCAAGAATGGCCCTGGTAGGGAACAAAAGCTCAGTGTTCTTTCTTCAGTCCACAGGATCTGGAAGGGCCTTTGGCCTTCATAGCCCGACAGGGGAAAGAACTGGAAAGACAACTTTTTAAAAAATAGCCAAGCAAGCGATGTAACTGAAGCATAACATTCTGTCAGAACCCACGGAAAAGCTGTATCCAAGTGTTGCTGCATCAATACAAATGTATAAGAAGTTCACAGCTTGGTCCTTGAGGAAGAGAGTGGAGCGTCATGCAGTTAGTAAGCAGGAGAATGAAGATCCAGGCCCACAGCCAATGTTCTTAGCCCTTGGCTTTGAGACAGGGTCTTGCTATGCAGCCCAAACAGGCCTCAAACTCCTGAGCCACCTACTACTTCTTCCCGAGTTCTGGGGTCATGTGCAACATCACACCTGCCACTGCCAATGTTAATAATCATATCACAACAGGATTGAACCTAGATCTTTCCTAACGCAAAACGCATACACTTTACAGACCCTGACTACTGTAACCTACGAAGTATAACGTTATCAATCACCCATAAATAAATAAATAAATCAAATTCTTCACAGACACCGCTTGCCTCTGAGACGGTGCTAAGCGTGGCTCTTGTGAACGCCACAGTTGCTAAACCCTTCATCCCCAACCTAAACCTAGATGATTATCTAGGGGGAGGAAAGCCAGCTCTCTGGAACAGTTCTAGTTCAAAAGCCAAAACTCAACCTTCATTCTGATGCCTTCAGACACAAGAGGCAGACCCTAAAGGCTAGTGGGTCTTTGGAATGGCACAAGCAGTCCTCCTTTTCTTGGCTTTCCCGGTTCCTGAGTAGGACCGCTCCAATTCTGGGCCCATGTAGCAATTTATCAGATTTTCCTGCAGTTTTCAAGACTGAACTTCGGACAGCCGCCATCCAAAACCCTTTGCTCCCCGGCTGCAGTCTATGCTCTGAGGCCCTCACACCCGCACTCGTCCCTTGATCGAATGGTCCCCGAGCACCCACACTCCACTCGGTCCCCAGCCGTCGTCTTCCAGGGGTTTGGAAGCCCCAACCTCGTCCGCACGCCCGAGATCCGGAAATCCACCTAGACGCGGCTCCCAGGCGGCAGTTCGGTTCCCATAGCAACTGCTCGGCGCACCCGCGTCGCGCTTCCGGCCGGGTGGCCGGGACGCTCCCGTGACGTCACGGCGCCGCTTTCCGGTGGCTGAGTCGAGCTGAGGTTGTTGTGGGCCGGGGGCGCCATGGGGGCGACTGGCGACACCGAGCAGCCGCGGGGCCCCGGCGTGGCAGAACGAGGCGGCCTGGAGTTGGGCGACGCGGGCGCGGCGGGGCAGCCGGTTCTCACGGTGAGGGCGCCCGGGCGAGGCCGGGGCTCGGGCCGGGCAGGGCCTCGGGCTCTCGGGCTCCCGGGCTCCGGGCCCGCGGGCAAGAGAACGCGGCGGCTGTGCGGCCCTGGGGGTGCCGTTTTCTCCGTGCGACGACCCTGGATTCAGATCCTAGCTAGGTGACGTGGGCCTAATGTGACAACCTCTGAGCGCCAGGTTTCTCTTCTGTGAAATGAACAGCTTGATGGAGTTGTGGTGGGATGGGCTGATAAAGGCGGGTAGAGCCCTAACATCACCACCCGCCAGAGCAGACCCTCGGTAAACACTGCTGCTCTTCTTGTTGCCCTTCCAGAAAAAGCGAGCTTTGGGCGTTTGAGGCAGAGAACATGTTCCCCAGGTCCTCCACCCTGACAGGGTCTTCCAGCCACTGATTTCCCCTTCACCCCAAGGCGGGAGAAGTGAGAAGCAAGAACGTCTAGGTTTAGCTTTATCCCCACTTTCTCCTGGTCCCCACTATGAGCGGTTTCGGTGACATTCGCCCACTTGGTCCCCACAGAACCCTTGGAACATAATGATAAAACACCGGCAGGTGCAGCGAAGGGGCCGCCGCTCTCAGATGACCACAAGGTAAGGCTGGCCTTGGGTGAGACTTAGATCCATCCCGTTATGTGGACTTGAGTGAGTGCTTTGGGAACCCCGCTGTAGGAGTCTGGGATCAGCAACCTGCAGAAAGAGGACTTGAGTGGGTTCTTCCTGTGACCTTAAGTCAGCTCCACTTCCAAAAGAAAAACAGGGACGGTTTTCAGTCTACTACCATCTCTCACGTTTATCGTGTCTGTGATTGGGAGAATGTGAAACCAAGATTCAGACCACCTTTGTAGTGCAGACTCTGATGATTATTAACTTTGGATGATCCCTTAATTTCTCTTAGCCTCTGTTTTCTCAGCAGTGATGTGGGGCTACTAGCTAAATGTCCAGCCTAAGGAAGGGAAAGAACCCAGGATGGGCCTTTGGAATTCTAGTTGTATCTCTGGCCTGGGCTATCGATAATCATTTATTAATCACAGCACTTGGCAGAGGCAGGTGGCTCTCACTCCACAGAAAGAGTTATGTTGAAATAAAATGACATGTTTCTGTGGTCTGTTCTATCCAGTAGTGCTGGACAATCTGGGGAGTATGTTTGGGACACTCCCCTGACTCTGTCTCCCCCCTGAATGCAGTTTCACAGATCCAGCCATCTCTATGGATCTCCTCCGTGCTGTCTTGCAGCCGAGCATCAATGAGGAGATCCAGAGTGTCTTCAACAAGTACATGAAGGTGAGAGGTGCAAGCATGGTGATTAAAGCTCACAGCACTACTAAAACAGTACGGCCAGGCTCAGTGGTGGACCCAACTGCTCAGGAGGCTGAGGCAGTTGACAGCCAGCTGGGACAACATAGTAAGACCCCCGTGGTGGAGGAGAAAAGGAATGGAGGCTGGCAAAGTAGCTCAACGGTTAGTAGTGCTTGCTGCTCTTGCGGAGTACTCAGCTTTAGTTCCTAGAACTGCCAGCTATCTTTAATTCCAGGTCTAAGATCCAGTGCCACCTTCTGGCCTCTGCAGGTATATACACAGAGTACATATTCCCCAGATGCATACATTTAAAAATATTTGCTGGGGAGGGGGGGGTTAAAAAGAAAAAGGTGACACCTGACTTTAATCCCAGCATCCAGAAGGAAGAAGCATGCAGATCTTGGCCAGCATGATCTACATAGTGAGAACTGTATAGTGAGACCCTATCTCAAAACAAGAAAGAAAGATAGAAAAGAAAAGGGGGGTGGAAATGAAGGAAGACATCTAGACAGGCTGATCTTTCCACCTGTCACCAGTTTCTCTTCATTCATGCTACAGAGAGATAACTCAAGGTTTCAAATCTGAATATATACCCCAGTATTTTTTTCCCACTGCTTGGGAGTAATACTTTTTTTGATCCTAAGTACTGGGAAAAAAAATAGTAATCCATGATTAGCATATTGCCAAGCATGATTGTGAACAGCAGTTTATGAAACAAATAATAAACAAATGTTAGGGAAGGAGGGAAAAGAAGAGGTGATGGGGGGGGGCTTGTTATTACAAACACTTTTGTGCACTTTAATGGGGATTGCTTTTGGTTACGCCATTTCCACAGTATTGCTTTTTCCAATCCATAAGCATGAAGGAAGGTGTCCTTCCATCATGTAGCATCTTCATCAGTTTCCTCCATTGCTCTAAGGTTTTTGTTACAGACAGGCTTATTGGAATGTTTGTTTTGAAATAATTTTGAGTAGAATTATTTCTCTGAGTTCATCCTCAGCCTGTTTACTATCAGTGTATAGGAAGGCTATAAGCTTTTGTATGTTGATTTTGTATCCTGCCATTTTGTTGAAAATGCTTATCAATTCTAATAGTTTTCTGATGTGACGAATATTATCTGCAAGTAAGGATACTTTGGCTTCTTCCTTTGTTTGTATTCTTTTTTGTTTCTAATGTCTGACTGCTGTAGCTAAGACTTTACTGATGAATAGAGTATAAAGTGAACCAGCCATGGTGGTGCACGCCTTCCTTTGATCCTAGCACTTCAGGCGATCTCTTGAGTTCGACAGACTGGTCTACAAAGCCAGTTCCAGGACAACCAGGGCTACACAGAGAGTCCCTGTCTCAAAGGAAAGAAAAAGAATGGACAGAGTGGACACCCTATCTTGTTCCTGGTTTCAGTTTTGAATTTTCCCTATTTAACGTTGGCTGTAGTCTGTCATCTGTTGCTTTGGTTATATTGAGATACATTCCCTCTCCAAGTTTCAGGACCTTTATCACAAAGCAATGTTTTGTCAGAAGCCTTCTCAGGATCTAATAAGATGATCATGTGATTTCTGACCTGAGTCTATTATGTAATCAGTTACATTATTGATTTTGCAAATGTTGAACCATCTCTGCATATCTGGAGTAAAGCCAGCTTATTCATGATGAATGATTTTATCATGTTTTCTTGAAATCAGTTTGCAAGTATACTGTTGAGAATTTTTCTGTGTTCATTAAGGAGCTTGGCCTATAATTTTCTTTATCCTGCTTTGGTATCAGAATAATGCAAGCTTCATAAAAAAGAAATAACTGAAGATCATGTAAAAACTTTGAAACCATTTTGGGATTTTTTGTTTGTTTGTTTGTTTGTTTTGTTTTTCAAGACAGGGTTTCTCTGTGTAACAGCTTTGGCTGTCCTGGAATTAGCTCTGTAGACCATGATGCTCTCTGCCTCCGAAGTGCTGGGATTAAAGGCATGCACCACCACCGCCTGACAATGTTTTTTGGGTTTGTTTTGTTTTTGTATTCACTTTGGGTTTTTGTTTTCTGGATGTTTCAGATTTTCTGCTGGGTTTTTGTTGTTTGTGGGGCCCAGGCTTTTGTTTTTTGTTTGGGGTTTTGTTTGTTAGTTTCTTTTTTATGTGTATGAGTGTTCTGCCTTCATGTGTAGATAGATGTATACCATGTGTGTGCCTGATGCACACAGAGGTCAGAAAAGGGTGTTGAATCCCCTAGGGCTGGAGTTTTACAGGTGGTTGTGAGCCACCATGTAGATCCTAAGAACTAAACCCAGGTCCTCTAGAAGAGCAGCCAGTGCTCTTAACCCCTGAGCCATCTCTCCAGCCCCTGACAGTTTTTGTTTGATTGGTTTTGTTTTTAAAGTCAGGTCTTTCAGGGTAGCTCAAAAGCTTAGAATCCACTATATAACCCAGGATAGCCTCAAACCCATGATCCTCCTATTTCAACCTGTTAATGCTTTAAAAGAATCACTGGTTGGTTGGTTTGTTTTTAAGGTAGGGGCTGGAGTTAGGAGTACATACTGGCTTTGTATGGAGAACCCTAGTTTGATTCTCAGCATCAAGGTCAGGTGCTTACATCTGTCTGTAATTCTAGCTCTAGGGGATGTAGCATCTCTGGCTTCTGCAAGCACATGCAAACACATACGCATAATTAAAAATAATTTTATAAACCAGGCTTGGTGGCATGCACATACATTTAATCCCAACCCTTGGAAGGCAGAGGCAGATCTCTGTTCAAGGTCAGCCTGGTGTACATAGCAAGTTCCAGATGAGCCAGGGCTACATAATGAAAGCACATACATATGGAGAAATAAATACATAAATAATATGTTTTGATTTTTAAAAAGTATTGCTATCACATAGCAATAGAATAGACTACCAGAGGACCAGTTAGGAAACTAAAATAATCAAAGCAAGAGATGATAGTGGTTGGGCCTTAGCAGTAGAGGAGTTTATGTGCTTTTACATCCATGACTATGTTCACAGAGTGATTTGTCGGGGGCAGCTATGAAAACAGCTGTTTTTGGCTTACTTTGGGGAGGACAAACTGGGGATCAGAGCTCAGTTTTGGATGGTCCACTAGAAACCTGCCTTCTGTTTCATCTTCCATAGATAGTGGTCTACTCCCAAATATCCCATGTTCTCACCCAGGCTCCTGCTATTGTCCAGATAGAACTGTTCCTTCTTTAAACCTACCCTCCACACAGCTGGCAGAGGTACCTTTGAAATAAAATAATCATTTTAAGATAATAAAAAAAAAAAAAAAAAAAAAAAAGGTCAAGGCTGGAGAGAGTACTTGTTGCTCTTGCAGAAGGCCTGGGTTCAGGGTCAGATTCAGGTCCCAGCACTCACATGGTGGCTAACATCTTACAGCTCCAGTTATGTCTTCTGACCCCTCAGGCACCAGGCACATGTGGTGCACAGACATCTATGCAGGCAAACACTCATACACAACGTACAAATCTAAAATTTTTAGAATTTTTAAACGGGTATTCTAATAACATAGAATATTTAATATAATAATATCAGACCTGGCATGGAAGTGCATGCCTGTAATCCCTGTACTCAGGAGGTGGAAGCAGAGGGATAATTAGTTCAAGGCCAACCTGAGTTACCTACTAAGACTGTCTCAAACATTGAAAGTCTGTGGCCATCCAGGTGGCTCAGCAGGTACTTGCTGCCAAGCCTGATAACCTGAATATAATTCCCAGAACACATACGATACAAGGAAAGACCCAACTTTGCAGGTTCTCCTTGACCTCTACAAGCATGCCATGACATGTGTACCCACGTGCATACACACATACTATATGTATGTACATATAAATGGTTAGCAGTGTGGCTCAGCCTACCTAGTATACACTGACCCTGGACTTGCACCTAAGCACTACAAAAAAATTAATATTTAATAACATTGATGGATAGATGAGTGGAAGAATGAGTAGATATATAGTAAAACAACATGGTAAGACTTTGAACTGTGTATGTGGAGGGTACTAGATGTTCATTGGGCAATTCAACTTTTCTATTTCAAATTTTTGATAACATATTCTGTAAAGCCAGATATGCACATACCACATCTGGATGTAATTTTAACTCTTGGAAGGTACAGACAAGGCGATAAGGAGTTCAGGCATGTCCTCAACTACATATCATGTTGGAGGTCAGCCTGGGTGGTGTGATTGATGCCTTGTTCTAAAAACAGAAAACAGGCCAATGAGGCAGCTCAGTGGGTAAGGCACGTGTCCTGAAGCCTGACACCCTAGAGTTGGATCCCAGAAACCACAGGCAGGAGGAAAGCACCAGCTCCACAGAATTACCCTCTGACCTCTATACATGCTATGGCACCAGCATACTCTCACACATACACAATAGTACTAATTTTTAAATGTTAAAAGCAAAATAGAAAGTATTCCTCACAAAATAATGTAAATGCTTTGAAATGAAAGCTAAGAGTCACTGAGAGTGACACTTCCAATAGTGGCTGTGCAGTCTTCCAGCTGTGCCCCTTGCATACAGCCTTCTCATCTTAACTGACTTCACTTAATAGATGTTGGCAGTATCCCCAGATCATCACACAATAGCTCAGCCCAATTCTTCCTTATAGTTACAGAGTAGTCTCTTTCATCGGTATACCAGAACTCAATTAGATAGTTCCTAGAAGATGGTCTAATGAGAGGCCTCAGCAGGTAAAGACATTTGCCTGAAGACCTGAGTTCAAGACCCACATTGGGGAAGGAAAGTACCAACTCCCACAAGCTGTCCTCTGACCTCCACATGCAAACTAAATAAATACATAAATAATAATGTAATTTTGAAACCCTCCAAGTGAATAAAGATGTGCATTTACAGTACATTTACATCTTTATTCACTTGGAGGGTTTCTGAGGGGTCAGTTCCTCAAGAGGAATTAAGGAGTGCTAGGGAAAGAAGATTGCGCTCCAGAACAGTGATGCTATGTGCGATCATTTCATGTGCTCTCCCTGGCTTTGTTTGTT